GCCAACATACGCACAAACATTGGTGGTGTTGTTTTATAATTGGTAATTTTGTCTAATTTGATATTATTTACTAGTTTAAAAGCTTAAAATATAACGTATACTTTATGGACTTATCGTAAGTAAGACACTCCGGCCGTTATACTGCTTTTTCGGTTATTATTTTTGCAAATTGCAATTACGCACTGCGGCATCGTGAGACGTGAGCACGTTGGCCGTGCTTGGAGCATACTAAACAAAATAAGAGCTCACTTCTCAAGTGAGCTCTTATTTGTCGAGACGATTTTCTTGCGCCAACCCGATATCTAGTTGTTATTGTTGATCGAAGATAATAACTATTACAAGATATTCAATTAATTACGTAACTGTTCGAAAAAAGACTGCCACGCTGGCTGAGTGGTCGCAAGTGCGACTGCCGGGCAAGGGGTCTCGGGTTCGATTCCCGGGTTGGGCAAAGTATCACTGGTTTTTTTTTTCAATTCTCAGTAGTAGTACAGAGTCTGGAATTGTGCCCGGTATATGGCAATAGGCTCACTTGTTATATGGGACTCATAACTAGTGAAAAGTGGTTGTTATATTGTACAGTGGCATTAAATGACGGGATATAAGGCGTGATGTTATCTGTAATGTGTGTTCGAAGAACTCGATTAGTTTCAAGCACACCTGGAACCGATAGTCTGTCTAAAGTTTAAGTTCTGGAATTCATACTCAATATCTTACAATCATGGCCTTAAATTCAACAGTGTCTTTCTTTTTTTCTTGATCTCATAATTATGACGACAGGTATCAGCGAACGTATCAGGTCGCGGCAGCCCCAACATATCAGGGCGAGAGACCCCCTCGTCCCAGGTCACCGAGGGTCCCCCCGCGCAGCCCGCCCACCTGCACCATCCACACGCCAAGCTACTCAAGCAGACACGGCACGATATCGAGGACAAGTTCTGCAAGTTCGAGATTAAGGTACCATCCCTACTCGCCTTCTATGGATTGTAGTGTGATGTTTTATGCCCTATGGCCTTCCTTGATAAATTGACTATGCAATAAATTGAATATACAATGCAAGACATTGTAGAACATACTTTTTTAAAAAGAGTAACGAATGTAGTTTCTTGCTCGGTATTCGAATCAACATTTTGGAATAAGCACTTAGCTTCACCTAGCTAGGTGCTAGGGTTTTTAAAAAAACCTCAGGTAGCACGAAGTCTAGAATGGTGCCTGGTATATGGCAATATGCTCGCCCTCTATTACATGGGACTCATAACATAAAAGTGGGTGTTACATTGCACAGTGGCATTAAGTGCCGCAATGTGTACCTCTGCTTACCGCTTCGGGGATAAAAAGGCCTGATGTTATGTTCTTTTATTTAGATGACATTTACTTAAAATAGGTAAATGTTTTTTGTAGAAGTTGCTGGAAGGCGACGAGACGATCAGTATAATGTCGGACACGTGGAGCACCGACGTCCTGGCGTCGGACTCGGAGACCATCGGGGACTCTTGTGACCAGACACAGGTCGCTGCTAACCATTGTACGTACATAATTAAATTACTTTGTAATTAATACGAACTTCGCTCAGCTTTAAACGATAAGTTATATTTATTCAGTAACTAACGATATTAATTTCTTGTTTATCAACTCGGTGAAGGAACACCGACCTAACTCTGATGTGAACACAAACATCGCGCTCTTTAATTTCTCAATAAATCAAGAACAATGAATTAACTAAAATCGCGGGTTACTCACTTGAATATACTGAGAAAAGCTCTACTAGATTCGAACCACAGAGGGGTTCTTCCTCAGTAGGCTGCGCGACATCGCCGCGACCGCGTACGCTGCTCTTAATATGCTGTTATAATAACACTGGTCAACACTGATTTTGCCACACGAACTTTGATAGCTAATTTTGTTTTATCAATCTACCCTCATCATTAAATCACAGTTTTCATTTGTCTGTTAGCCTCATATTTGTTGTGATACGGTAATACTCATAACTAGTACTACGGCGGTAAATTAACAGAAACGCTCACAAGTAAATCGTCATAAAAGTATTTGTAGTTGAATTTGAATATTTTTTGTGATTTATTAATCCTGTGAACATGTCGAGGAAGTGTAAAAATAACCCTAACTCTTTTTGTTATATCTGCGGAGAACTTACATTCAAAAAACAACGACGAAATTTTACGAATCTTGTGCTGGAGTGTTATCACCAATGTTTTGGTTTTTCTGTCGCCCATCAAGACAAATTCTGGGCCCCTCATGTCTGTTGCATAACGTGTGTGAAAAATTTAACCGACTGGAAGAAAGGTGCACGAGCTATGCCTTTTGCTGTACCCATGATATGGACTGAACAGCGAGATCACGTTTCGGATTGCTATTTTTGTCTCACTGACTTAAAAGGTATAAATTACAAGAAAAAAAAAACAGTTATCTACCCTAACGTATCTTCTGCTATAAGACCAGTCTCTCATTGTAAAAAAATGCCAGAACTAATACCAGTTGCAACAACGTCTGTTGATAACGACCATTCACAACCGTCTACTTCAAGTCGGTCTTTTGACGAGAATGATGACTTTGAGTTTGAAGGAATTGAAAAGGAGCCACATTTGATAACTCAAGGAGACCTAAATGATTTGGTTAGGGATTTAAATTTGTCAAAAAAGCAGTCGGAACTATTAGGATCTCGGCTAAAAGAATGGAATTTGCTACATCATAATACAAAAGTTAGCTATTTTCGAAACCGTGATGAACACTTCAGAACGTATTTTTCTCAGGATGGAGATTTGGTGTTTTGCAATAACATAAATGAGATCATGAAAATGTTGGACATAGATTTTGAAATCTCTCAGTGGCGTTTATTTATTGATTCTTCGAAGGCAAGTCTAAAAGCAGTTTTATTGCATAATGGAAATATGCTTCCGTCTGTTCCTGTGGCCCATGCTTCAAATATGAAAGAAACCTATGAAAATATGAAAGTTTTACTTGAAAAAATAAATTACAGTACATATTCCTTCAAAATCTGCGGTGATCTTAAAGTTGTTGCATTATTACTTGGACTTCAGCTGGGTTATACAAAATTTTGCTGTTTTTTATGTGAATGGGATAGCCGAGACAGAACTAATCACTATATAAAAAAAACATGGCCTATGCGTGCATCGTTAGTTCCTGGCCAAAAAAATGTAAAGTATTTACCCCTTGTAGAGCCAAATAATGTGCTTTTACCACCATTGCATATCAAATTAGGATTAATAAAAAATTTTGTGAAGGGAATGGATCGCAGTGGGAGTGGATTTTTGTACCTAAAAGAAAAATTCCCTAAAATAAGTGATGCAAAAATAAAAGAGGGTATTTTTGTTGGCCCTCAAATCAGGGAGTTAATAAAAGATTCAACATTTGAAGAAAAATTAAGCGGTTTAGAAAAATGTGCATGGAACGCATTTAAAAATGTTGTTGCAAATTTTTTGGGCAACCACAAGAGTGACATCTACAGAGAGTTGGTTAGCGAGCTCTTATTGTCATATCAAGCATTGGGTTGCAACATGTCACTCAAGATCCATTTTTTAGACTCGCACCTGGATTTTTTTCCTGACAATTTAGGGGCTGTCAGTGACGAGCACGGCGAGAGGTTCCACCAGGACATTTCTAGTATGGAAAAGCGGTACCAGGGAAAATGGAGCCCAAATATGTTAGCGGATTACTGCTGGACAATTAAAAGGGACCAACCAGAAGCTAAACATTCAAGAAAATCTTAAATTATTAAGTAATTTATATAAAAAAAAGTTTGATTTACGAGATCTGTATTTTTTCTTAATATTTTTAATTACTCAATAGAATAAAATCCTTGGCTAGCAAATTTTTTTAACTGTTTATCTTTTCTTACAATCACCAACTAAAGTAAAAAATATCAAAAAAAGTCCGTGTGGCACGAAAAAGTTTGAATTTTGTTGACCAGTGATAATTATACCCTGCGTATTCACGTGAGTAACCCGCGATTTTTAGTTAATTAAGTTTGTCTCACGACAGTTATTATAAAGACAAGAACAATGAAATATTGAGAATATACCAGTCGCATATTATTATCTATACATTATTACCAATCAGCTAGAGAATCGTATACTACTTTAGTTCTTTCTTGAATCACCTAGTTTCGAATACGATCCTTCAAGAGATATTCTAAGAAACACACATTACCTATTTGCACTATGTATTGGTGGTCTCAGGTCAGAGCGGTTGCAACCAGAACGCCCCGGACGCGTCGGAAACTGCGAGCGAGTCTGCCTGGAGCATGGACGTACTCGCTTCAGACAGCGACCGGAATACTGAGGTAACATATACAATACCTTTAGATCTCGACGCTACAATACAACTATCATCTTCATCTATATATATAAAAATGAAACCCGTTTTCCGTTGTCACGACATAACTTGGGAACAGCTAGACTGATTTGGCTGAATTTTTTTTTTTTTTGTTGCGTTTGTTATGATCAGGAGAAGGTTTTTATGACAGAAAAGAAAACCTGCAAATCCTAAAGGAGAAAACGGGATTGCGCGTACGACGTCGCGGGCACAAGCTAGTAAGACATAAGTTGAAACACGAAAAATGAAATGGTTTACAAAATACGCTTGAAACTGTTTATGAGGAATTTCGACTAGTTTCAAGAATAGAGGCATAGAGAATGTAACAGAAGATAAGTCAAGTGAAACATTAAAACTTAGAATTACCTTTATTTTAGGTTATCTGTAAAGCTCTTGTTTAACAATAAGGCTGCTTGAATAATTAACTTGATGAGTGTAAAGCTGTAATGTTCCGTAGGTGGACACGGACGACTGCGTGTCGGTGGCGGCCCGCTCCGACACGTCGTGGCCGCGCCGACCCTCGCAACAAGACGACGCGCCCTGCAGGACTTGTACCCACCAGGTACATACATATCTCGCTACAATAGGCTTCATTACATGAAACTCATAACTTACTGAACTGTGAAAAGTGGCTGGGTGTTTAGTTGTCTATTTATTTTTTGTAATAAGCCGGTAAACAAGCAGACGGATCACCTGATGATAAGCAATCAGCGTCGCCCATGGACACCTGGAACTCTAGAGGCATTACAAGTGCGTTACCGGCCTTTTGGTGATTAGGAGTTTTAGGATCGCTGGGGATTCAGGAATTGGGGAGATTGGGGAAGGGGAGGGTAATTGGGCCTCCGGTAACCTCACTCACACGACGAAACACAACGCAACCGTTGCTTCACGTCGGTTTTCTGTGAGGACGTGGTATCACTCCGGTCGAGCCAGCCCATTCGTGCCGAAGCATGGCTCTCCCACATTAATTACCATATTGTCCATTGTTGTAGGTATAATATTTAAAATATACATATGTTTCAGAACGGCAACGTGAAGCGGCCTGAAGTCAGCAGCCCTCGACATACGTCGCGGCCGAACTTAGCCAATAGGTAATTATGATTCATAAAATGATATTTATAGTAGAAGATTACAGAAATATAAGCGCAATACAGAGGTTGTGATATTATGTAATGGCAATAATTCAATAGTTTAGACTTAATAACTTAATTTTGGCATAAGTTGCACACCACTTTTATTCCATTTAAAACCAATAAAACATAGTTTGAACGGACACAGGTCGGGCGGGTACCTGACGGCGACGGCGGCGCTGTCTCGCGGCGGGGAACTAGACCTGCCGCATGCACCGCCCTCGCACCACCAGTACAACATCGAGAACAGGAAGAGCATACTCGTCAATGGGTACCCGGTTAGTATTCTATAAATAACTAGCGACCCGCCCCGGCTTCGCACGGGTGCAATATAATACATACAAACGTTCCTTAAGAATCACTCTATCTATTAAAAACCGCATCAAAATCCGTTGCGTAGTTTTAAAGATCTAAGCATACATACGGACATACAGCGAAAGCAACTTTGTTTTATACTATGTATTGATAACTGATATCACTAATAATAACTCACTAAGAGAAAGTAAAAAGCGAAGAAGTTTTACACTAAACGTCTATAAATGCTTAACACAGTATTAATTTAAGAATGAGCAAGATTTTCAAAACTCTGTGTCAGTGACTAGTTGAGTTGCAGTACCTTTGATAAAATCGAATACATTTTTTATAAAATAATATGCTTGTTCATATGTATGTGTTGTACAGGTGATGACATGCTACGCGACGTCCGCCCCGGAGAGTCCGAGTACGAGTGCGCCGGTACCACTGCCCGGGGATGTATTCGACTACGTGCCGCAGAACAAGTCAGTGCACATTCAGATTGTCTTCATAAAGATTTGAGTATTCTTGATGTTTCAAAGTTATTTCTTTCTACAGCGGTGCCCAAACCGAGTCAACATTGGAAGCCAACAGTCAGTCAGACGCCACGAGCCAATGGGTAGACGACAGTTTCCCCGCGCCCCACCACTCCCCCGACAGACCCTACCCCTCCACCTCCAAGTACGACCTTCCATCCACTTCCAAACCTTACGACGACAACGACATGATGGACCGATCGCTTAACTCAAGCGAGAGCTCCTTCAACGCAATGTACGGCGGCCGATTCGATTCCGGTATCGATGCTGAGCGAGCGGAATCCGAATCAAGATCGACGATCACCGATTTGATGACTCGGATGAGTTCGGCGACAATATCTACGTCGGCGAACCTTGTGAATAACATCACGTCTAGGATTGTGAAGTCGGAGATTCGAACGAGTATTGTTAGCATTTCATCGTCCAAGATTGAGAAGAAAAGGGAAGGGACCAGTAATATGTCTCTGAGTACGTTATCAGTGAACAGTGCGGAGACATCTGCGTCAGACAAGAGCTCGAGCCAGGATGTGAACTCCGACATAGTGACGGAACGCCGCGTCAGTCCGCCGCCCACCAAGAACGTCTCCACTGGAGCCATACCTAAGAGCATCAGCTTCGATGCCACCGCTGAGAAGTCGCAGAGGTAAGAGAATTAAAAAATAAAATACAACATCTCCGGGTTATATTTGAAGTGGAGTATATTCAGATTTTGACAAATGTCGAGGAGGTTCCTCGATCGATTATCTTCACTATTATGACACACATAATGTCCTTTGAGGCTTTTATAATGTTTCTTCATTATAATTCTACATTGCTTCGTAGGAGACGTATGGGCGAGGACGGTCTAGTAGGCAACCTGGACGAGCTGAAGAACAACGTGAAGCGGTCCGGCGGCAACTTGCTGCACAAGATCAAGATGTTCCGCCAGAAGGGACGCTCACATACACATCATAACGGTGAGTAACTCTCTTCCAGGTAATTACGAAGTGCGCAATTTTGTGCAACTTTGCACTGCGATATTGATTAATTAAAGAATTTATTTTGCTTTTCTCTTTTCTTTACCTGGCGTCAAAATAGATATAATCTCTACCTGGGTAATCCACCACTATTCGACGATGATGACGCTCCTCATCTTAATAGTAATGTTTAAAATAATAAAATTGAAACAGCAAACAGATTTAAAGCTACAAACAGATTTAAATCTCGATACTAAAACCAAGAATTTCAGTCAGTCAATTTATTATGAATCAATAATTAATTATCATCGTTGCTTACCACCAGAGATGGTGGTCTAAAGTCCCATCCCATCAAATATGTAAACAAATAATAATAATTAAATTCATGCTGATCTCATTTCTCTGAAATAGACGTAAAACTGCCAGAGGAGGAGAACAGAAGTGACGACGGTAGCCGTCCGGAACTGGCTGCAGGGGAGAGCTCGGAGGAGATCCTCGCCAAGTACCGCCGCAAGTGTTCCACCGAGTCTACCGGGTCCAAGCACAAGCGGTCCCAGCGACGCGTGTCTGATGTACCTGATGCTGAGCTGGATAGGTTAGTTTAGTTATTTTAAGTGTTTAGTGATCGTAGTTTAACTCGTCGAGTACCGTCATTATAGACACAATTATAGAACAATAGGTTGCGGTCACCGGTGACCGCTTGGTGTTTGACAGTTTAAGCGCATGTCTAGCGCAAAGGCTGTGTTGTCTAGTGATTTGTTTGCGCAACGGTTGCGCACTGACTGTTTTTGAGTTTAACCTTTGGAGGAATTCGTTTAAAGGTTAATAAGAAGAAATAATAGTTCAAGTGTTCATTTTGTTCTTGCAGCTTGTGCAGTTCTCAGTCTTAATCAAAAATGACTAAAATAAAATGAACCACTCATACGATGTTGTCTGTCTCTTAAATTAATCAAAGACTTGTGCACTTGCACAAGTGTAAAGCTAATCCTAAATACATTTCTTTTACAATTTCTATGCGCAATAGTTGTGCGCAAGTGTTAATATTGTTATTATTTATTACTAGGTGTGAAGGTGTGGTGGATCTGAACGACCCCGAGGTGTTTAACAGTATGAAGCGCAAGTTGCGCATCGTATTGTCAAACCCTGACCTACACTGCGTCGAGTTCGTGCCTAATGTAAGTTGTATTTTCTATGTAAATTATATGGTGTTTGTCTTTATTGCTGAAAGTATTAATTTAAACCATCTTACCAGACTGTAAAGTAAGGTTTGTCGAGAGTTTTTTTTACTAAGAGGAGGGGCGTCATTATTATTCGCTACACCAAAACGGCATACCGATCACAATAACGTGACAATTTCGTCTAACTGTGTTCTTCAACAAGGAGGCATTTGTTCAGCAGTGAACTGTCTTGCGACTGATGATGAAGATAGTGATCATGTAATGATCGATGTATGTTATGACTTTCGTGAGACATACTAAATTATTGTTTTAGTTCTAAACTCCTCATCAAATAATTACGTGAGTAAGTCGAAAAAGATATTAATTGGTCGATGTGTTTGTATGTAGCGCTGCACGAGCACGTCGCTCGTGGAGTGGGTGCGCGCGCTGGGCGCGGGCGCGGGGGCGGGCGCGGGCGCGGGCGCGGAG